TTCTTATTACAAGAGAGCTATGTTAATTGATCTACAAAGTTATGACTAGTCTTTTTTATAATTATAAACCTAAAAATTATAAAATTTATTATAATTCAACTTTGCCAAATATATCTGAGTGCACTCTGGTTTATAAACAAGTTGTCTTATGTGTGTGTGTGTCTGTTCAACTTGTGACAACATGCACACCTATTTTGTCTGAAACTTTTTTGTTTTGCACTTTGGATTTTTTTTTTTGGTACTAGGGATTAAACTTGGGTCCTTGCACTTGCTCAGCAGGTGGTGAAACCACTGAGCTAAATCCCCAGCCCTGCATTTTGGATTTTTTAAGATGTTTGCCTGTAACTATAGATAAATGTCACTAAAGACATGCTTCTCCAAGGTTGCCAGATTATCTAAATAATGTCAACTGGTTTTACAAATACAGTACATATTGTCTATATATAATAACTCAGAAGTCTTTCATTGGTGAAAAATAATGTGTTAATTATTATGATCTGGCTCTCATAGGTCATCTATAAATTTGTTAAGATAATTAAATAAAGACTCTTGGGCTTAGCAAAACTACTGGACAGGACTCCCCTTGGTAAATAAAGGAGCAGCTGCCTGGAAAAATTTATTTCAGCCTTTGTTCACAAAGGGGACCCCAATAATTTCCATAGCCTCATGGGAAATACATCGCTAAACATATCATTGTGATATGTATACATTGTTCATGGTCTAAGTTTTCTGTGGGAAAACAAGGTTTTATTTAAAATGCTCTTGGTACAAAACAAAATTAAGGGACAAGGGTTTCATGTAACTGATTCTCATTGTTATTTCATGGTATATATATTCATGCCCTCTGGGTGTACAAGTCTTCTAGGATATTGTTTATGGTAATGATCTTTTCTGACTCAGGTATCTGCCTTTCTCTTGCACTCCACCTACTTGTGATAAGAAGTATATGTCAAGCCAGTATAAGAAAACCAGTCAAATAATAATTTTCTTAAAAACTTATGTGATGTATGTTATATGTGTCACCACACTTAGTGATGTTCAGTCCCCAAACAGTTGAAACAAGGTCACACACTACAATTAGAGGCTAGACATGATGAACTCCTAAGGTACATTTATAGGCTAATATATATGTTCTCTTTAGATAGCATCCTACTAAAGGATAACAAGTTTTCTTTACATCATTAATGTCTTGTGATCAGATGGAGGTGTTTGACTGAAAGACTATTCCATAATAAGATGGACATGTGTTACAAAGAATATGTCATCATGATTGTCATGCTAAAATACTATGGGTAGCTCTTGATCTTAAGTTTCTCTATATAACTGTTGTCTGTTAACTGCAGGAATTCAACTAAACAACCATTGGTGGTAAAATAACAGCCCTGTAACTGTGCTTTGTATTTCAAAAATGCTTAATGTCCAGACAAAATTATAATAGTTAAGCTCACTGCTCCTACTGAAATACTTATGTCACTGATCTTCTCTTCTGGGTCTTCCACAACTAAAGTTTGGAGACCAAAACTAGAAAGATAACTCAGCTATGAGGACAGCCCTGGCCCCTCAAGCTCAACAAAGAATCCAGGACATAGGGCTGGGGATTTAGCTCAGTGGTTCCACAGCCTGCCTTGCAAGCACAAAGTCCTGAGTTCAATCCCCACTACAAAAAAAAAAAAGAATCCAGGATGTGAGGGAACCTTTACTGCAGGATCCTACATCTTTGGTAAGTCACCCAAACTCCTCAGTAGGGCGATTGCTGGACACCAGAAGACAAATATACCATGTGCCAAAGGAGGGTCACCAAGAGGGAAAAGTCTTCCATGCTTTTACTGAAAGCAACATGGTCAAGCAAAGCCGTGACCCATCCTGATGGCTGACACTGACAGAGGAACTGAGAGGCTCTATACATGGTTCCAAAGTAATGCCTAAGGAGACTTAACTGACCTTGATAGATAGCAAGAGGTTCATACTGATTGACACAGGTCTCACTTTACCTTGGCCTTAAACACCCAGCAGAAAGAATAATCAAAAAGAGGTATAGAATAATGCCATAGTAATAAAGCTGGATATAAAAAGGGGCTCCAGTCACTGACCCATTCCAGCAGTTTCTAGCTACACCAGTAGCTTGACCACAGTTGTGGATCATTAGAAAAATACTATGGTAAAATCTATGAGAGCTCAGCTACAGTTTTAAATGTCTTAAGTGAGATTTGTTCTTCAAATTTTCTCTTATCTTCTTACAGCTAAAACTAGAGAGATTTATGACAAAGTATCAGACTTATAAATAACCTTTATCAATGAAAGAATCTAAGTGCCAGCAGGTTACAATCACTATTTCAATTTCTAAGTGTGACTTTCTCCCCAACATGCCCTTTCATTCTAGTGTTCTCATGTTTAGATTATGCATGCTCTAATTTCTTAAAAGTTTTGTTTATTCTTGCCAAACTCCAAGCAGTCATACAAATGGAACCAATGACAAATGTGCTAGACTTTTTTTGCTGGGATGCACCAGATCGATCTTGTAAACAGTTCATAACTGCTAAATTCCAATATGACTTCGATGTTGCATTCTGAAGTCCCCTGGACCTTCTCCTTATCCTCTGTGGAGGGCTGTTACTAGTTCCTCCCAATGGAAAACCTTGTTGGCTATATTCGTAGCAGTCCTGCTGACCTTAGTATTTGGTCCATGTGTTCTTAACTGTTTCTTTGGTTTTGTCTCCTCCAGACTTAAAGCTATAAGGCTAGCCAAGATGACAATGCCTGGCGCCTATAAAAGGCCTTTAGATTGACCCTCTGTAGAGTAATTCTGACTGCTGATCACAACTACGACCTTTTTCAGCCAGAAGTAGCCATATTGGTCTTTGCCCTTTGCCCCCTCACAGCAGTTAGGGGTACTTCTTCATAGGAGGAATATCGTAGATAGGTAAGTTAATTAGCCATCTTGTAGGCAGCTAGACAGGGCCTCCCTTAAGGCACCAGCCCTCCAGAAACCAACATAGAGAAAAATTGAGGCATATTTACTATTTAGCAGTACAAAAAGGAAAAGAAGTACTACTTCCCCTAGAGATAGATGTCAGTGATTGATATCCTAAATGGGAAATTCCTTGTATGTGATTTGTCATCCCATTTGATCCCCATTTAATATTACCTGGGTGACTGTACTTCTAATCTTGTTGGTTGGTCATGGTTTGGTCCCACCTCATGCCCACCTTGTAAATTTTCATTGGGTCTTATAGTTTTGTCCCATTTTGTACCCACCTCAAAGATGTATAAAACATCTTTGAAAAGTGGGGTGGGTGGGCAACCACTTTCCAGTCCCCCTTCTGTCTCTCAGACAGGAGCTTTTATTCTCTCAATAAATTTTTCCTACTCTTAAAAAAAAAAGATTCAGTCTAGATGGAGTGCCATTAATTTAAATTTTAGTATTAGAGCAAAATAGGGCACTTTTTCCATAAACTGTATCATCAAAGTCTTTCCTTGGAATACAACATATTTTCTTATGAAAGTCTTCGTTAATTGGCACCAAATTCCATGACAATGAACCACAAAAGAAAAGCTATTGATTTCCAATTATGAGATAGTTTCTGGCATTCTACCTATGATCTCAAATAGAAATAATAGTAAATGTTTCTGTTTTCTTTTGGGGAATCTCTCTTGCAAATGACATGGGGGGATTTAATGTTCGATCAATGAAATCATGTGGTATTCTATAGAGGCCTCTACATATGCAATAATCAGAGGAAAGAAAGATTATGGTATCAACAACAGGTTTATATCAAGAAGATAATATTTGCTTATTGCATTCCTTTACAGAGTTACACTGAACCTGCTATTTCTTCCAATTCTGACATTGGGAAAATCTAATTGCAAATATATGCCATCAGACAAAGATCAAAAGAACTCAGTAAAACCAAAAAGAAAATTTAGTGCATTTAGTTCTGAATTTTCATAAGGCACCATGACTTCCACAAAGATGGCTTATTGAGATATATTTGTTTCATTTCTGTAGCTGTGAAATAAGAAAGAAAATAAATTCTGCTATCTGATTATGACTTTAACAATAATAACTTCTTAAATTATTTCTTTTATAGAAAGGCTTATAATTTAATCTTTAAATGAATGCACAACTTGAAACAAGGAAAACTGTTAGACTATTTTAGCAATAGATTATATCCTATTGCTGTAGACACTCCTGAATCTGGAATCTGATCCAAAAATGAATGTTTATTGGTTAGCTTTCATTCTAGTGGTGTGTATACCCAACAGTAAATTCTGAAAATTTTCATCTGTATTTACTGATAGCCAAGATATTTTGCCTATTTGAAAATGACAGTAGGATTCCAGATATATTTGTCATGCATTTTGTAAAATGCATGGTAAAAGATCAACTTGTTTTTCTTACATGCTGCATGGGAAGAAATCTCAAGTCCTTACTTCTCGATGTTTAGTTTATAAGTAGTGCTCTAGTCATCTTGAAGTAGACCTGTGCTGGTCGACCCTTCAGAGCCCGCTCACAGTGAGTTCAGATGTGCAGTACCTCCATCTCCAACTTCTCCTCCATCTCCATTACCACCACAGTGATGACAAGAGTCACCCAGAAGTGAATGCTAGAAAGTCTTCACTGCTTTCTCAATCACTACATTCACTAATAATTTCACTTAATTTCTCAACCAACAATGTTTCTGTGATTCCAAGTAAAACTGCTGCACAAAGTTTTGCAGACTTCTCCTTAGGAGTCATTATAGAGATTGCAGTTAAGGAACATAAAGCCAAGAAAAATTCCTACTAATATTTCAGTGATTTATTTGAAATGTATCAGTCTCACAGCCTATTTAAACAGAGTGCAAGTTCTGCTGAAAATAAGTAAAAATTATTGTCAAGGGTCTGTATTTGATATTAGTACAAGCACTAAAGAAAGCACATGCCTTCCTAAGTGCTCAAAATTTAAGACAGGAAATTGTGCAGTCCTCAAACAGAAACTGTCCAACATGTGGTCTACTTACCCCTGCAAGGCTTTCTCTCCAAACCAGTCTCCTTTTCCTAAAGTTCTGAGAAAGATTGGGTCTTCACTTGGAGACTCTTCACGAGTGACATTTACCTACAAAGAGAAACAATGAAAGTCTAACTCCAAACCCAGAATGATCAAAAGAAAACTAATTGATAGGGTAAATTAAATTTATTGTTTCTTTTAAACTTTTGTTTATATTGTTTCTACCATTTTTCTTGTAAATATCATCTTTCTACATACCTCCAAATGGACATCCTAGTTTTTCTAGGATATTCTAATCTCTATACCTAAGAAGAATCGATCATTTATTCAAAGGGCCATCACATTTTCATGTACCTTCCTGGAGGGCCTTGACTATAGCACCTGTGATCCACATCCTTCAACCAGCAAGATGTCTATTTTTAAAAATAAATATATATATTTCTCTTTTCACCATAATAAATAGTATGCTATTCAGAGAAAGGGCTATTTCATTGGTTTTTTTTGGTGGTGGTGGGGTTTTGCAGTACTGGGGATCAAACTCAGGACGTTGCACTTGCCAGGCAGGTGCAGCATCACTGAGCTACATCCCCAGACCAAGAAAGGGCTATTTCATTGGCATTTTGTATAATTTATAATAAGCATTCACTAAATTACACTAATTGTTTTAACAGAAAGTTTCATTACTAACAACATATCCTGGCACCTATAGGATTTGTAATATGGGTCTTCCCAGAAAGTACTCTCCAGAAAGTAACTGATTAACATTTTTTTGTTGCATTAATAAAAACAAAGGGCCAGGGATTCAGCTCAGTGTTTCCAGAGCCTGCCTCACCAGCACAAGGTCCCAAGTTCAATCCCCAGTACCAAAAACAATAAAATAAATAAATAAATAAAAACATAGAGTAAGTTGTACCTTTGTACTAATTCACTTCTGCCTTGAGAAGTGAACTAATATTCATAATATTGTCTATGTATCATCCACAAATGTTAAATAGTTCAAATTCACCTACCTAGAAAATGTAATGAAGTAGAAAACTAATTTTGTGAGACAATTCCAGACACTTAAACACATTTAAAAACACTATGTTTCAGGTCTCTGAATCTAGAGATTGGTTTTCACTGACCAGAATATTTATAAGTATGAAGAAGGTCTGTGAAAGGTGAAGGGAATTTAATTACTATTCGCCACTGATCCATTTGATTAGTCCTCTACACAATGTTTCAAACCATGGAAATTCATTTTTAACCCTATTAGTTACCACTAAGCTAAATTATATAGACAGTAATTTGCATGTTGATGAGGCTTTTATAGATATGCAAAGTTCAATAGGAAGTCTTATTTAGAATAAAAGTTACTGAGCCTTTACTCCAGGATTCTTATTCATTAATGTTAATATAGGTAGCTAATGTTCATTTCTTCTGTTTGTATAGTATCCTATTCTTTAAATTTTACAAAATCTATTAATTCATCTGGAGATGTAAATGAGAGTTGCTTGCAGTTTTATTCTTATATTTTATTTTGTGGTGCTATTAACAATGCTCCAATTGACATTCTTGTACATGTCTTCTGGCATCTACAGGTAAGAGTTTCAGTAGAGTTCACACTTACAAATGAAGAACAAATTAATTATATGCATTTTCAATTTTATTGTGTTGATTCACTCTTGATACAAATGTACATTTACATCATCAGTGAATGAAAGTTCACATTATACTACATGATCATCTGGATTTGTAAGATTGAAAATTTTTCAGGAAGATAGGTGTTAAATGTTATTTTAACCCTATAATCCTTAATATCTACTAATATAACTCCCACATCCCTTTTCTTTTCAGATATTTTGTTATTTTGGTCTTTTGTTTTTCATTATTAGATCTCAGATAAAATTTTCTTATAAAAGTACTTGAACATTTTTTATTAATTACATTATTAGATACTTGGTTTTCTAAAAAATATTTAAATAATATATTTAAAAATAGAAATTATTTCAATAAATATGGATTTTAAATTATCATATAGTAAAATTAGACTTTTTTCTTTCTGTGGTTCATATTTCTAAGGATTAAACACATATATAGATACCTATAACTCTTACCACAATTAGCTACAGAAAAATTCCATCACTTTAAGAAATTCCTCCATGTTACATGTTTATAGTCACATCCTTCCCTGATCTTATCCTTACCAACCAAGGTCTGTTCTGCCTTATGTGGGTTCTGCCTTATGTGGGTTGTATCTAATTGCAAATATCATGATAATAGAAGAGCATTGAACTTAACTTTTTGAGATTGCTTTTTCGTACTCAGCATAATGCCTCTGAGATTCATCTTAGATTCATGATGTGTGGTCCTCCAGTCAACTCTTTTTATCACTGAATAACATTCCACTGAATGAATATACCAGTTGTTGGCAGGTATGAATAAAGATGCTAAGTTTTTATGTGAACTATATTTGCACTTTTTAGACTATACACCACAGATTATGATTGCTGGGCCATATGGTAAATGATAACTTTATAAGAAATTGCCAGAAATTTCAGAATCTTCCCCATTTTGCATTCCCACCAGCAAAATATAAAGGTTGTAGTTACTTTTCACATTCATTGGTACCTCATCTGATCAATTTCCTTCTTTCGTTTTAGCCATTCTATTAAAGGATACAATAGATCCTTGGTTTAATTTCCAATTTCCTAATGATTTGTGATATTGCAAATCATTTCATGTGGATTTACCAATCTTGTATCTTCTGTGCTTATATATCTATTCAAATTCTTTGTCCACTTTTTAAAAATTGCATAGTTTTTTTTTTGCATTATTGATTCTTCCATGTTGCTTATTCAGGCTCATTACCAGTCCTTTACCAGAGGTGTAATTTGTAAATATATCTGAGATAGTAATATATCTTTTCATTCTCTTAACAGTGTCTTTAATAGAATAAAAGTTTATAAATCTGACAAAGCCAGATTTATCATTTTTTTATTTTAAAACTTTTGGTACCAAGCCTAGGAGATATTTATATAACCTTAAGTCATAATTTTCTTTTAAGCATTTTTAGCTTTATATTCTACTTTTAAATCTATTATCAATTTTGAAATTTTTAATATAAAGTAGGAAGTTTAGTTCAATGTTCACTTTTTTTCTCATCTGTGGCTTACTAATTGTTCACTGAAAAGAATTTCCTCTCTTCATTGATTGCTTCCATTCAGTGATTGATTTTTGTTTCATCATTAAATGTATTAACTACAGGCATATTATAGACGCCATCTTAACATTTTTTACTATGAATGGATGTTGCACCTATCAAATGGTTTCATTTATTTGCTTGACATAATAATGGGAATTATCTTCTTTATATTATTAATATGGTGGATTATATCAAATCTTTGGCTTTTTCAATATTTAAACTGTAGTATAGTACATATATCTTCAATGCCCAATGCAGTCATTACTGCTACATCTAAGTATTCACTTATTACAAATGGCTACTGCTGCTGAGAATTTGATTATTTGATTTAAATTAGCTAATTTTGATCTAGACAACAAATGAGACTAATTGCCATTCCATTAGATTGTATCCACATGAAACATTTCCAAAAACTCAGAAAAACAGAAGGAACAATGATGATCTAGCTGAATAGTTAGTTATTAATTTTAGTTACATATCTGTGTAAAAATTTTAAAAGAAACTAAAATCATATCACCTTTAACTGTTTCTTCATCATCAAATATTATATCTTTTTCTAGACTTATAATAGTCGGGTTGTCTAGGACCACACTAAACAAGAAATGGTGATAACATGCACCTTATTTTATGAGTGTTCATGATCTAAAAGAAATGTTTCTCATGCTTCTCCATGATGCATACACACACATATACATCTGGAAACAAAATTTCCATAACAGAACACTTTCCAAATTCATAATACTGAGTATTTTGTTAACCCAATATATTTAGCCATTATGTTTAAAAATGTTTTGACTCTAAGAATAAAGCCATGTGCTTTTAAGTGACACTTAAAATGTAAGAAGTTTTCGTAGCATACAATGTATATTGACTAAAACCAGAAAAATCCAAATGCATTTGAATTATTATCAGAATTCTGAAGTTTTGTATACCAATACTATTCAATTATGAGTCAAATTATTTATGGAGTGGGGGACAGTTTTTAATGTAATATCTCTGTAGGGACTTCAGAATTCTTTGGTGAAATCTTGTTTCTAGGCAAGTGGAATGAACTGAATAAAGTAAAGAGAACTAACTCAGCTTCTCCTGGTGACAGCACCTGGTACTTTATACATCACCACAGTAAGCATTCTGCTTTCAGTTTTAGAAAATCACTTTGTGCAGGTTTAATGGAGGAATATAAGTTGGATTTCAAAGTTTATTTCATAGTGTTTCTCTCTTTATGAATAGGCTAACTGAGATAATAATACATAAATCAATAAAACTGAACAGGGAAAAATCCATTCATGGCTTTACAGCCTGCCCCCCGTATTGTGTTTCCTTCCATTTAACAGAATTTTCCAAGAAAAAGTCCATTCAATGGTAGAAAGGAAATTATCTTCACCAGGGTCATCCTTTGTTAATTTTTATAAATGAATGAGGAAACAAGTTTGCATCAGTATATCTAAAACAAAACACTGTCTTAGAAAATTCAAATTTCACAACCTATTTTCCTGTTAACTTTAATCAACTCTTATTATTATTCATCTCTTTTTCCTTACAACTGGACTTAAGTATGCTTATCTTCTGCTGCTTATAATGATTCTAATGAACTAATATTATAATTAATATATTAATTGATATAATTATGTATCATAGTTAACTATGGAAAACTAAGGGGAAACTAATGCCTGTTTAAAAAACAAAAAAAAACCTTGAATGTGTCAAGGAAGTCTAATATCTTATTACTATTTCTTTCCCACAGTTGCCACATTGTATTAAAGTATTGTCGAGAGAATTGGTTCCTGGGGTATAATTTTCACTCGGCTTCTATATATGCTAAAAAACTCAAAAAATAGCTGTGCTAATGCACTTATTTTCTGCTGAAACTGGTTACAAAACACTACTTCTTTAAAGCTCTGCTGGAAATCTGTAGTAATCGGGTCATCACAAAAGCTCATCAGACATTCATCTTAATGGATAAATACATCACTCCATAGTAGTAAATAATTAGCCGTGTAGTAAGGAAAAGTAGATTGTCAGGACAAAAAGTCCCGTTGTGATCAATCAGATAGCTTATGTCCATGAGAATTTTCAATTTTCCCTGATTTTTTTTAGCCAATGTTAACCATTTAATAAATGGTAAACACTAACAATCTACCATCTAAACACCACAAAATGTCTTTTTTTATCCCCTAATACTGGAAAATGCAAGATACATTTTTCATAAGTGTGTTCAGACATGCCATTACATGATATTATCTAAGAACCCAGTTCCTAACTTCTATTCCTACCTCAGGCTTTCAAATACCAGTCAAACAAATACATATAAAAGTATAAATATTGTTTCTTATTTTAGTGGGACATGCCAATGGCATAAAGATTGACTTATGGATTCCTTTATTCCAAATTAGTCCAAAAAGGAGTATCTGAAATGTAATTTATTTACTGTAAAATGTATCATATTTACTGTAGTTCTTTAAATCTATCTATATGGGCAATAGGTACCAGAGTCAGTCATTTTTCTATTAGGAAAGATAAATTTATTTAATTTTAAAATAACAAGCATAAAAATTTAAATTGGACTATAAATCCTCTTTACTGCATTTCTCTCCCTATCTTTTTCTATACTGTATTTAATGTATTCAGAATAAAAATGCTTAAGTACAGTTTATGACAGAGCTGGGCACAGTGGTGCACACCTGAAATCCCAGCATTCAGGAGGCTAAGTCAGGAGGATCACCATGAATTCAAAGGTCATAGTGAGTTCTAGGCCAGCCTGAACTACATAATGGGGCCCTGTCTCAAACAAAAAAAAACAAAACTGTATAACTTATAACAAAGAAAAGTAAGTTCAAGTCACAGACTACAGTGCAATGACAAATGCAAATTATGGGTTTATTGTTTGAGAAATTTAATATATTTTAGTGATATAATATTAGAATTATCTAGATAATTTTCCAATTTACTTAATCTTTTGTCTTAAAATTTAAATTAGATTCATATTGTTGAGAACTAAAAGAATATAAAAAAATCTATAATTTTTCATTCAGTTATTGTTTACCTTATTTTCTCCCTCTTGTAATTTATCACTTTTAATAGTTTCTTAATATTCACTCAATATTCTTTATAGAGCTACAATATATTTATATCCTGATTACCTTCAGAATATGAAGCCATCTGTGTAAGGAGACTATAAGTTGTGGTGCAAATTCAAGGCCACTTGATTTCACAGCCCAGACGTTCTATTGTCTCGATGTTACTGCTTCTAAAGACTGTATGGATCTTTAAAAGTGCCCTTTGTATTCTTTATTGTATAGTTTTAATACAGAGAGCTGTGTATTCTCATAGACTTATTAGTAGTATATACTAACATGATTATTGGCACTCTGGCTACTTAGTGATCTACAAAGTTACACTCTTTCTCCTGCCCCTCCTGAATCTTTCTTTATTTATTTATTTATTTATTTATTTATTTATTTTTGGTACTGGGGATCGAACTTGGGTCCTTGTTCTTGCGCAGCAGGCGGTGAAACCACTGAGCTAAATCCCCGGCCCAAGTATCTTTATTTTTTAATCCATTGTCAAATAGCTCTGTGTTAGAGAACCCATACAGCACAAGACTTGGGACAGGTGCTCCTGCACGAGGTGCTGACCAATCCCAGACTGCCTTCATGCGTCACCTCTTGTGCCACCAAAGCTTACCGTTCCTTTGCTGATGATAAAGAAGGTGTCTCCTCTTGCACCTTGCCTAATAATGTATTCCCCATTTTCATAGTGGGTCTGAAAAATAGAAATAGTAAAACAAAAATTAGGAAAGGAATTATTTACCGAAAAGTTCAAATCCTTCAAATATCAGGCCCCCAAGATGTATTTATCCAGGTGGAGTTTTACCCAACCCCAGAAGCCATCACACATTAAGAATGGATAATGGTCAATAAAGGCTGTAATTACAAAGATACCATATCTTTAATGCTTATTTTTAAAACTTTGGTGAATATCATTTTTTCTGGGTGATTATATTCATATATTTAAATTCACTCACTTTAATTGTTTGATCAAAATATTCTTTTCTCCCATCAACTAAGTGTGAAATAAAATAGCAAAGATGTTAATTAAACTGGTCTTCCTGTATTATTTTATATGTCAATCTCATTTGGTTTCGGTATGGTCATAATGATAGCCTTTTTTTTGTCCTGAGAAATTACCATGGCATCTAAATATCTTCATTTGAATGCAGGTTATCTTTTACTGCAGGTTAGATGTCTCTGGGTACTTTTTAAGGCACTGCTGCATACCTCAATGTCCTTGCTTGAGCAATTTAGGTTCAGCCCTGTTAAACAGAATATCGTAATTTTATTGGGCAGAATTCTGGTCCAGCATCTGTCCAGCACAAACTACCACATGCAGGGCAAAGTAAGGCTGCTAGAGGATTATCACAGTCATTGGGTCAGTATCCTGATGAGGACATCACCACTAGGACCATTCCCAGGGTGAACTTTACACCTACAATGAACAAAAGTCATTTCTATAAGAAGAGATAGGACACTACTGCCTGCCTCGCAAGCACAAGGTCCTGAGTTCGATTCCTGGAACAAAAAAAAAAAGAAGAGATAGGACAAAGAGTATTGGTTGGTGAGGAAGTATAGCAGAAAAATGAGCCAGTGCCATCTGGCCCTATCTTTCTCTACAGTTTAGTATAGGAGCCATATCTTGTGAACGAAAATATTACATGTGACTTAGGAAATAATTTTCATGGTTTACACAAACTATCCATCGAGCTGTTATTTGTGCTTATATTTCAATACCATTTTTCTTAACACTTGATTCTAGTATCTTAAAATTGTCTTTCATAATACTTCATATTAAAATAGCTATTATTTTCTTTATGAATCTAGAAAGTTAACATATTACACCTCATCTGTTTCTCACTCACAAGTAATTTATTTTCCTTGTAACAGTTTCCTAAGTAAAACAGTTCTTCCTTATTTTTCTCAGTCTCAACTACTTTATGGTACATACAATCTGGTGTATACCTTTCAAAACCATTTTCCTATGTTTTAGCAGGCACACACACTCAAATAATTATTTCAAAATAAAAGCAGAAATATACAGCTCATATTCTTCAATTGATTTATTCCATTTAACAAGATTCTTTTGATCAATTTTCATGTATTGCTGCATTAGAATGGGGAGATCTGTACAGCATACAGATATGCAAAACAAAATCACAATAATCCACATTAATGTGTTCATTCAAGAAACCCACTTTAGTGTCTTTGAGCCAGGCCTTCTCTTAGGAACTGATCATACAAAGATGAATTAGACAAAATCTCTTATTAGTACCATAAAACAGTTCTTTCTTTGATGGTGGAAATGTTCTACAGTTGTATTGTCCAATGCAGTAGCCAATCACTACTTAGGGCTACTAAGACTTTAAAATATTTTAAATATTTATATTTAATACTCATTAGTTTAAACTATAATAATGAGATTTGACTGGTAGCTACTGAATTGGATAACACAGGTAACAAGCAAAGTTACAGTTTGTAGCAGTTCGGCAGCAGAAGAGGATCATCTTTCCTTTGTTTCCTGATGTTTCCTTCCACACAAATGAAATCCAGTGAGTAAACTCTGACCTCCCTTTTCTACTTTTTCCATTCTGCACTGAAGGAGATGGTCTGACTTATCTGAGTGATAGATCTGAAAGTAATCAGCTATGTAGGCTCAGCTCTACTTCATTTCTCTTCACTGGGGTGGGGGGAAACTTCCCACAGAAGCATGATCTCCTCTGCTTCTTCTCTAGAAGACTATTCCTCACTGCAGTGATGTGTGTCCCTGTCCCAGCTTTTAAAACAGGACGAGAAATTCTGTCCCGTTACATGGTCCAATTTGGGAAGCCTATTTGGCTCTCACATCTAATTTTACCTATTCTAATTCAGATTTTATAATTTCCCAATAATGCTAATATTTTAGCCTCATTTATCTTTTACTTCATTATTTTTCACTTGGTTCCTAACTTAGGACTGCTCAGCAGCCCAGAAATAAACCAGTATGCATCATGCTATACATCTAGGATTTTGTGAGAATGTAACTCTTGAGGATATCTGACTCTTTCTAAGAGCCTTCTCTATGGACGATCCTGTGGCCCCAACTGAAGGATGATACAGAGGTCATTGGATATTCATCAGGAAAAGAGTCACCCCAGGAAGAGCAGAACAATCAGCTTATTATGGTCTCAAATGGCAGTGAATGTACAGGTTTTTAAAATGTAAATAAAAACACAAAATTTAAGGAATTCTTAGCCCATCTGAGATTTTCCTCCTCATCTATCTCCTTTTTTTGTTGGGAATATAAACTAGTATAATCACTATGAAAATGAATATGAAGATTCTTTATAAAACTAAAAGCATAAATTCTGTTTGACCCAGATATGCCTTATTTGGGTATCTTTCTTAGAGTTAAAAATATCAGATTACAATGATACATGCATACATATGTTTATGGCAACCCAATTCAAAACAGCTAAATTGTGGAAGCAGCCTCAATGCCCACCAACAGATGAATGGATGAAGAAAATGTAAATATACACAATGGAGTAACAACTCTGCCATAAAGAAAGGTAAATTTAAGCCATTTGTAGGAAAGTGGATGGCTCTTGACACAGAATCCTAAATGAAATAAATTAGACACAGAAGATTAAACATCACGTGGGTTTCTCTTATATGTGAAACATAAAATAGAAGAGCTAGATAAAACAGGGATGAAAGGAAACAATGAGGTAGACTTTTTGGAGATGTGAAGGTGATCTGGACAATGAGGGAGAGGAATGGGCAGGAGGAAAAGTAAAAGTGATTAAGATATAATATGTATATATACCAATTCTGCCAATTGAATGTGATTATTGCCTACTGAAAACATACACCAATAAAAATGTGACCCTATCTATATGATACTTATCTACTTTCAGAAAGCAAAAATGTTTGCAGTATAGTAAAGATTATTAAGACAAGGATTCCTAACCTCAGGATTATTGAAATTAGTAAGGCAGATAGGTCTTTGTTGCAGGAAGCTGTCTCACACACCCTGCTCCCACATAGTATGTTTAGCAGCATCCCTGGCCTTTACCTGCTAGGTACAAGTAACATCACAACCACTGTTGTGGTATCCAAAAATATCTCCAGACATTGCCAGTTACCCAGTTGGGGGCAAATTTGCCCTCATCTGTGAACAACTGCTCTAAATCGTTCACATTTTTAATCCCTTCGTATTAGAGAGTTGAGATCTGGTGGAGATACCCAAACATTCTTCAGTTATTTAATTCACAGTTAAACAATGAAGCACTTTCTTAGTAGCATGTGACATTGACTTTTGTAACTCAACATTCACAAATGTCATATTAACACTGGCACTATTTGCAACACTGGCATTTACTGAATATATTTCCATCCTTCAAAATCTCATAAAACACAGGGTTTCAGAGAGGACCCTCTGAGAAGTGGCCAAAGGTATGCCAAGTTTAGGAAAGATAATACTGGTGGTGTCATAAAAATAAGACTATAATGATTCTTCTATTCTGAAATGTTCAATTGCACCTGAGAGGAAGATGAATAAGCATGCTGATTCTTTGGGGATCTCATAATTATATTAGTCAAACAGCCATTTAACCGTTTTTTGAAGGTCAATTTGCAGTTCTGTCATTTTCTTATTTCAAATCAAATCATTGTAATATACAAATGTTAGAATGGGAAGAGACCCTGGCAAGTAGGACAAAAGGTTTTCCTATTTATTAGGACCGAAGCCAACTTGCCTAGGCCTACAAGATGGAATGTAGTCTCAATCCCTTCTCACTCTCTCCTACTTTGTTCTCCAGTCCCACTGAGGCCCCAGGTCAGTGCTTTCACTTTGCTACCACCTGGCTTATGCATTCTCATTGCTGTACCCCCACCACATCTCACCTTAGCACATTCCTCACCTCCCCTGACCTGGCATATTGCCCCCTGCACACCTGCACATCTCTGGCCAAATACACCCAGTCTGGCTAAATAAGCTCTCTATTATATGACCTATGGTAGCATACAGCTCTATTTAATTCCCTTTTTCTGAGCTTGGTGTTGGTTATTTACTTTTATGATTATTTCTCACCAGATCTTAAGTCCTATGAAGGTAAGAATTTGTCTGATTTTCTTCATTATTAAATCCCTGATACCTATCACAATGCTTAGAACTCAAAAATTATTAACTGCATGAATAAAGCAGTCTTCCTTAATCCCCATTTTTAGAATTGTCTGTAATCAATTAGAAAGGATTCTATCTCCAATACAGATGGACAGCCCAATTTTCTCCTGCTATTATCACTGTTGTCTACCTGATCCGAGACCAAATCCTATCTTCTATTTTCACCATGACCTTCAGTTTGGTCTGCCTGTCTGTCTCTGGTCCATCTACCACAACTCCCCACATCCCCTCTGTTCTTACTGCACCAAATAACCTTTCATAGAACAAGTCAATTGAAATCACTCTACTCTATTTAACATTCCAATGGCTTCTTGGAACAAATAGCATCATAACCAACTTAATGTGGTCTGTGAAGTCCTCTGTAACCCAATCCCTATGCACTTGTCAATTCTTGTCCCCTCCCACTCTCACTCCCAGTCATTGTATTTCAGACACACTGGCTTTGTGTGCCTTGTATTGCCAGGCTGGATGGATCTCCCCCTCCAAACTTTGCATCTAACAGGTACTATATATAAAACACTTCTCCAGAAATTTTTGCTGGTGTC